ACTGGGAAAATCTATGGAGAGAAACTGGTGAAAGGGAAGCCAATACAGAAGAAAATAAAGCTTGGAAGGTGGGGCAGAAAGAGATCAGGTCTTAACATGGTTTATCCCCAATCTAGCTATGCCTGATTCATTATTGGACCTTTTTCTTGAGTCAACAAAGTCCTTTGTTTTACTTATTCCAGGTGGGTTTTCTGTTGCTCACAACTGGGAGGATCCAGAATAAATGTGGAACTAAATTCCAAATTATTTTATTCAACCTTGATGATGACCAAGATCAAATTTTAATAAGAGGAACTTTGAAAGAATAAAAAACTGTTCTATGGGCACAGTGCTCTGAGGATACAAAGTCTGAGGAAACAAAGCACTGTGCTAGCCAGTCGCATCTCACCATCAGAAAAAACCTTGCTGATCCTGAGAATACAAATTTTAGTAGGCTGGGTACAGGTCCTTTCCAGATTTAAATATTCTATATCTGGTCATAAATGGATTTGGGCTTGCTAGAAGTTCTCCTATAGCATTTTGATTGTTAATGGTTTATGGTTCTGCAATTCTTAACTTTGAGACTATGTACTTGCTTTATTCATTTGCTGTGGGAACAATTTGAATTTACTTGTAACGACTAGACGGGGAACTTTAATTTCAGTGATCTTATTACAAGTGACTCAGCTGACATAAAGGACAGATGAGATACTCTTAGATGTAGGAAAAATAGTTTTGTTTATATATTATGCAAGTAAAAACAATTGTAAGAAATACAATTTTTAAAAATCTTTTTCAATTTATTTCTTTGGTTTTATCTTCCTATCAAACGTATGAGGAGCACAGAACCAATTATAATCATCCTAATTTTATAGAGGAGAAAAGTTAAGAGATGGCAGTAATCCAGTTGCAGCTCTTTGGTGATTCACAAAAACTCATGCCTTTTACAGCCTGACTGTCCCCTCCTCTTTGGCCCTCATCCAAGTGTTGCTCCCTATATATAACTAAAAGTAATAAAGCTATATGTTTTTTTAATTTTCAACTGATATGTGTATTTCAGTCAATCTGGAAGATTTTAGTGTATTTTATTATTCTTAATGGAATTCATACATTAAATAACTCAAGGTAATTTACATTTTGTATGTAAACTTGACTGCATTTCCAAAGGAGCCAATAAATAAATGGCTAAGGAAGGGCTGGTGGTATTATTCAGTACTCATGCCTCACTGCTTTTTTGGCATGCTTTATTATGAAACCTTTATGGATGTATGTGAATGGCTTCTGTTTTTTTCTGTTTGGTATTATAATTACTAAAGATAGTTTTTATACCTTGGATTATTAGAAAGATCAGTCTGTTAAACTGACCACATTAAACATAATGTTGCAAATAACTCATGCTAATGTGGTGAAGTTGCATTTTAAGAACGTGTTTATTGATGCAATTTCTCAGCAGAAATATGGCCAGGAAAAAATTGTGGGGCTGCTTAATAAGTTACCATCAGTAAGTTCTATGTTAATCAATAGCCGCATAAGAGCTAATACCAGTTAGAGGCTACTCATCTCTATTTCAGTGGTCCTAAAGGTGTTCTTAATCCTGAAGCAACCAGGATTGGTTGACTTACAACTTTAGGCAGTTATGATTTGGAAAGTAGGATGGAGTGCTCACAGGGCATGTCTTAAGAACGTGCTATGGTTGGCTATGTCGGAAAGGATAGGAAGAAAACAGGGAAGGGGAATGTTTCCCGAACTCCGGTAAGAAAATGACAGGCACTTCTCCCAAGTGGTAATGGTTCCTTGGTGTTGTGACTTGGTGATGGCAGCTCAAAGATGCCAGAGACAAATTTGGCTTGAAGTAGTGCTTCTCAATGTATGGTCTCTTGTGCCTGTGGTGATTCAGGTGCATGAAGAGTCTTTGAAAATTTCATTCACTTCATAATAATGTAGTCTTATTATGACTCTACCTAGTGTAAGGCCTGATTCAAAATGATGATGATATTAGTAATGTTGATAATGACATATTGAGGATTCATTTGGTGGCAGGCATGGTGCTGAACACTTCAGATGCATTATCTGACCCAGTCCTCACAATAATCCTCTGAAGTAGGTACCATTATTTTGTTCATTTTACAGAAGAGAAAACTGGGACAAGATAATAAGGAATGTGCCCAAGGTTACAAAGTTAATTAGTGGCTGAGCCAGGATTCAAATCATGGTCTAACTCCAAAATAGATGTTTCCTTAAAAATATCATGGCAAAATACACAAAATTTACTTTTTAAATTATTTTAATGTGTACAATGCAGTGGTATTTAATACATTCACATTTTGCAACCAACACCACTATATAGTTCCAGAAAATTTTTATGACCCTAAAAGGCAACCTCATGCCAATTAAGCAGTCACTCCCCATCCCATTTCTCCTGGAACCCTGGCAACCACAAATTTGTTTCCTGTCTCTATAGATTTGCCTATTCTGGACATTTCATGTAAATGGCATTGTACAATATTTGCGTCTGGCTTCTTACACTTAGTGTAATGTTTTCAAGGTTCATCCATGTTGTAGCGGGTATCAGTAAGTACTTCATTCCTTTTTAGACACAAGTATCAATCCATTGTGCTACATTTTGTTTATGCATTCATCAGTTGATGTACATTTGGCTCTTGTGAGTAGTACTGCTATGAACATTCAGGTACAAGTTTTTGTTTGAATACTTGCTCTTAATTCTTTTGAGTAAAAAATAAAGGCTTTTTACTTTAATTTTTATTTCTGCTGACTCCAAGGAGATGACCATATATCTTAAAATATTCGGACATTCAACAAATATTTGAGAATCTACTGTACTGCCACCTAGAATGCTAAGCACTGGGAATATAAATTGCAAAGAATAGCACAGACTTCATCCCTGTCGTCCTCAGAAATGACAGAAAAAGGAATAAGTGAGTAAAATAAAACACAGAGCTGGTAGCAGTTAGAATTTAGGGTTCCTTTTCTATTTGCTATTAAAGTAAAGTAAAAGCTGGCAATGACATACGTGAGCAAGATGCTCTATGCAAGAACAAGTAGAACTAAGAGTCGCTTAAACAATAATGGTGTTTATCATCTTATGTAATAATAAGTCTGAGGTAGGGAGGTTCTTATGTGGGGTAAATCAGTAGCTCAGGAACTAGGTTTCCTCCATCCTTCTGCTCTGCCATCCTTATTGTCAAAATAAGGAATGGCAACTCTAGGCATCACGTTCTCCTCACATAATAAGGACAAAAGAACAGAAGTGGGAAGATGGTAGATCTCTTCCCAATTCCTTTTTAGGAGAAATTTTTCAGAATACTTCCCCTCGGGTCTATTATGCTAGATTTGCACCAGAAGCCTATTCCTACACCAATCATTGGCAAGGGAATGGAATTACATGGTTTAGGATTAATCAGCTTTGAATATGGAAAGGCGCTCAGCTTCCTCTGGGGCATACAGTCACCTGATGCCCTAACAAAATACAGGTTCTGTGGAAACAGATTCTGAGCTCTAGGCCTCAATTCAATATCTCAAAACAAAAACAAAATCCCAAACCTCAACATATCTAAGACTGAACTCATGATTCTCATTCAAGTGGTCTCTTCCAGAGCTCTTTGTAAATAGCGCCACTATTCCATCTGTACTAGCCAGAAAAATTGGAGTCATCATACCCTCCTTTTTTCCCCCTACTCATCCATATCTAATGCATCACCAAGTCTTGTTCATAAAATTTGCAAAATAGCTCTTGAATCTACTGCTCTCTTCACGTCCATTGCTCCATTCTAGTCCAAGTCACTATCATTAGCTATTCCCTGAAGCTCTGCAACAAGCTTTTGCTTGGTCTTCCTGCATCAATTTTGACCTCTTTCCAAGTCCTTCACATTGCAGCCAGAGTAACATTTTCGAATACATGTTTAGGCCTAAAATTTGTTTACACCGCTACTAGAATGAAGACCAAATCAGGCCCTCCCCCAACTCTTTGCAATCCAATTCACTGGTTTGCCTTGAACTTGTAAGTGGGCTGCGCTCCATCCCACCTCAAGACTTCAGCATTTGCCATTGCTCCTGCTCCGTGTCAGATCTTAGCTCAACCGTGACTTCCTAGGGCAGGTTTCCTAATTAGGGCAGGTCTCTTTGCTCTCTCAGAGAAGTCCGTGCCTTTCCTTCAGGACACCTTTCTGTCCATATTCTGCAAGATCCAGGAAAACACAGAGCTAGTATCTCTTACAACATAATGCCTGGCACATACCAATGTATGTGCCTAATTGAATTTGTAAACTTCAAGGAAGAGTGGGCGATAATAAATGTGTATCCAGTCCCAGAAAGATCACAAGTAACGGCCGTGACCCACCAGCACAAGCCGACCCGCCTGGACCACAAGACTTATTGCCACTTCCAGTAGCTCCGCCCCTCGGGCTCCGCCCCTCCCTGTGAGTCGGGGGCGGGACATAGAGGTCGCGTGACGTGACAGCAGCCGGCCGCTGATTGGGCTTTCAGCCGCGCTGCTAGGAAAAGGGGCGTGTCAACATGTTCTGATTGGCTGTCGGGCGGCGGCTGGGCGGTGGCGTTGCGGGGGCTGGCGCCGGGAGGGAGGGGACCAGGCAAGGCTGGAAGGGCAGCAACGGCGGGCGGAATGGGTCCTCGCCGCCGGCTTCGCTGAGACTCGCTCGCGTGGGCTGCCCGCGGCGGGCCAGCAGTGGCCGCGGCGGCATGAAGGGCGCTCTGGGAAGTCCCGTGGCCGCGGCCGCCGCAGGCGCCGCGATGCAGGAGAGTTTTGGCTGCGTCGTAGCCAACCGCTTCCACCAACTGCTGGACGACGAGTCGGACCCTTTCGACATCCTGCGCGAGGCCGAGCGCCGGCGCCAGCAGCAGCTGCAGCGCAAGAGGCGCGATGAGGCAGCAGCGGCGGCGGCGGCCGGGGTCGGCAACCGCGGCGGCAGGAGCCCAGCCGGGGCCTTGGGCCACAGACCCGGCGCTGGTGGTGGCCGGAGGGAGTCCCAGAAGGAACGAAAGGGTCTCCCGGCCTCTGGTGCACAGCAGCCGGACAGTCCTGGGGGCGGCCCGCAGCCATCCGGTACGCGCGCCGGGCTGGGCACCTGGGCGCCCCCGGGTAGGCGTGGTGGGCGGGAGAAGGATGGGGTCACTGGGGTCACTCTTCCTCAGCCTCCCCACGACTCCCCCTATGAGACTGGAGTCTTTGGAACCAGTTCCAGAAAGGGGAGGGGGCCATGGGAAGAGTTGGGTTAAGTTGAGCATCCTTGTGGGAGAAGGAAGTAGGAAAGAGGACGGGGTGGGGGGAGGGGTTCACGCCTTTCTAGTCTTTCCCAGCCCTTTCTGGAGGAGTAGGTGTGCAGACTTGGAGTAAGGGTCTCAAAACCCTGGAACTGAACCTTTACAAGTTGGGCAAAGTTGAGGGATGTTGCTGGGGTGGTGTGTGGGGCAAAAACTGGGGTCGCTACTCCGGGTCTCTCTAGTCTAGAGCTAACTGGGACCGTCTCTGTTCTCCAGCCCAACCTCTGCAAGATTCTGGTCGGAGACAAAAAGAGAGGCGTGATGCTAGGGAAGCCCTTCTTAGGGAGGATGGGAGAGGTAGGGCGCACCCGGACCGTGGGGTGATGGCAAGAGCCCGGGGTGTGAGAAGAATCGCCCAGGTGAGGGGCTCAGGCCTCTGTGATGGAGGGAAGGCCTGGGTGACCACAGGGGCAGGCTGTGACGTCGGCCGTGTGCGGAATACGGCGGGGTGGACGCGGGGTCCCAGGCGCCTTCCAAGCTCTCTGTCTTCAACCCCATCCTCTTGCTGTAGCTAGCTTCCAGCAAGCAGTCAGCCAGCATCATGTTTCAGTACAGCATGTGGTATTGATGGGTTGTGTAACTTGTCATTAACTCAGGCTGCTTTCTTTAATCTTTCCAACAAGGATTTTCAGTTTCCCACTTCCTGTTTAGCGAGACCGGCCAACGCAAAAGTTAGTGTGCTACTATATCTGTATTTATGGAGGGAGGGTGCTTAATAATAGTTCATTTCTCACCTGAACTGCATCAGTGGTAGAATCAGCAAGACTATACCTATGTTTCCTAAAATAAGGCTTTAGTCTTAAAGCTTGCCTAAGAAGAGTGTTAGGAATAAGATATGTTGTGTAGTTTGACCACTGCAGCCAGTGTTTGGCAGTGTATTCATCTCAGCTTTACTGGCTATTACCTTGCTTGATAAAAATTGGCAAGTTACAAAATAGTCGGGATATAAAGTACAGCATAGGGAATATAGTCAATAATATGGTAATTACTATGGTGTCAAGGGAGTACTAGGCTTATGGGAGGTGGGATCACTTCATAAGTTATATAAATGTCCAATTACTATGCTATATACCTGAAACTAATATGATATTAAATGTCAAGTGTAATTGAAAAAAATTAAATTATTTTAAAAGGTTGTGCATCCCAGCCCTGAGAGAACAACTGATTTAAGTATTGGGGCTTTAACTCCTGCAACTAGGTAATGTTTACCTTTGTCTGTGAAAAGATCAGCCTATCACTTGAGAATCAGAAAATCAAATTATTATAACACAGATGTTGGAGATTATTTAAAATGCTATCTCAAGACCCCTTGGTAGGGCAGTAAATTTATGAGCCTATTTAAACAGCGAGTGAGATATGATGTACATTTCGTCTTATGTTCTGTTTTTTTCTCTTAAATCTATTTAGATAAATATAAAAGAGTTGAGGAAGGCTAAGCGTTTCTTCTCCCTTTATTTTTTAACAAATGAAAATATGTATTTTTATCCTTTAGTGTGAAACTGAATTTAGTGCTGTTAATATTGCTTTTCAACCTTTACAATTAAAGAATGTCATACATTGTTATAAAGATTTTAAACAACTTAGAAATGTATGAAGTAAAATGAAAATCCTTTATTTTTCATACTGTTAACATAAATGCACATAACTATTTTTTAAAATTTAAATAATATAAACTGGGTTGCAATCAGCTTCTTTCACTTAGCATTGTAATCTGATAAGTTTATAACTCTTTTTGTCAGTTGTTCATGATCCAGATGATCTGGCTTTTGAGATCTATATTAAAAACCCTTAGTTAATTTTGTTGTTAGAATGGATATTTTGTCATTCTAGTTCCTTTTCAAGTATGTGTTATTTCAGGAGCAAGCAGTATTAATTTCCGTTTATGTGGTTACTGGACTGAATTTATCTGTAATGGGTGTTAGCTACTCTCTCAAGGTTGTGTTGCCTTAATTGATGTGGACTCTTCTTTTCTAACACTCAGCATTTTTAATTTCCTTGAATATTGTGAGTGAGTGCCTAATGTAGACAAGACTCAAAGTCAATGAGCATATGTTAAACATAATGAAACATATGCTCATGGCTATATGTCAATGATAAGATTTTCATATGGAAACAGGTTTTTAATGTCTTTCACTATTTAACAATATACATTTAACCCTTAAATAACGCACGTTTGAACTTCACAAGTCTACTTTATACGTGGAGTTTTCAGTTGACTCGACTTGAGAATCAGGTGTACATAGAACTTTGCTAATAAATTCGTTCATGAAGTCTTCAGAGGCTGTTTCCTCTTTACTTTTCCTAGGAAACCTCACTGTAAACTTTATTCTGTTCCTTCATAGGGGTGCAGTATACAGACTGTGTGTGCCAGCATTTTGTTGGAAAGGGCTAATGTTTGTGTTATCTACTTGTAAATGCTGCTCCAGCACAGAAAAACAGTCCTGGTTCAGTTGAAAACTTGATCTCTTAATACTAAATTGTGAGAAAACAATTTTACCCCTAGTATCTTTGCTTTTTGGGTTTTGGAGGGAGAATGTAATGTTTGCAGGGTATTGATATTTATTCTAATAAGCAGTCAGTTATATTGAATGCTTTTTAATCTATACACAGAAACTTTGGAAGAAGCTATAAATGTATTGGCGAATTACAAATTTAACTGATACAATTTAAAAATAACGTTGAGGAAGAGAAGGTGGGATAATATAAATAATTCTGTAGTTGAGTGAAGATACTATGATTTTTTTAAAATTACAGGCTATAAATAGGAAATTTAAATCTATTAAGATAAGTTTTTACATTGAGGGGAAAGTATTGAAAAGTATTGTTACTATTGACATATTTGCTCTATTGCTACTATTGACATATTTGACTATGTCATGATCTACTATAGTTTTCAACTTGTTAGGTAATTAACTTTCATAATAACATTTTCTGCCTTACATTTCAAATGTCTCTTCCAAGTCTAATCTCTATTAGAATATATGTGCCCTCGTATCTGGCATCGCATACCCCTGGGCAACTGGGCATGAGTGTCAGTCTCTGTTTTGTTTCTGCAGTAAAAGCATAATGCTCTGATTATGACAACATTTCCCCCATATCCTAAACATGTCATAAGCTCAGATTATGACTTCAGTACAGGATGTAAATCAGATTTAAGCATGTCTAGGTTATGGGACATTAACTAAAGGTTGAACTTAGTTCTTTTGTGCAACTTTTCACAATTGGAGAAAATACTTTATATTAACTAACAAGTAACAAATTGCACAGTTTTGTTATTGGTGTCCCAGGCACAATTTTTGCTTTAAAATGAGATCAGTAAGGGATTGGAACTATGTTAATATTTACACATGCTCAGTTTATAAAGTTTAGATAGAAAATATTAAGCGAGAAAAGAGAAAAATATGTATAAACGTATTCCTCAAGAGTCGTGTTTATCTTTCCAGAAGTAGAAATGGAAACCAACAACAACAAAAATAACTATTAATTCAAATACATTTAGTATTTTTATAGCTATACAACCAGTGTGGAGGGTAATTTATGTAAAGAAAAATACTATAATAAAAATTGTGCATAATGTTTGAGATGGAGACCTTTTAAATGTATACAAAGAAAAGATAAACATTTTTGGAAGATGATCTAAGAAGTGAACAAAGTTCTTCACAACATATTTACCAAGTATTAGCTGCCTTCACACATAGACTCTGCTTAACATTTTTAAAGCATTAAAACTGTAGAGGAGTAAAGTAAGGCGAGAGGAGAGAGGAAGACTGGAGTGGCCCCGCCCTGGCCCAGATGGTGCTGGCTCCATAGATGTGAGATACCCCTTCAAGGGCTGACTGGCCCTTGGATGATTTGGCAATACCAATTTGGCCTCATGTTTGACAAGTATGATCATAAATGCATAAATCCCATCAAAGAGCAGGAAAATCTGTTTCCAAGTGAAAAATAATAGAGGTAGAAGTACTTAAAACAGCAGCTGATGACAAATTATCGTTGAGGTCTAAAAGTACAATCTAAAGTACAGGGCATTCTTAAATTTTCTGAATGTAGCTTAGCTGCCCATGTTTTGATAAAGCTGCTTTTGTGAAATGTAGTTGATTTAACAATTACATATATCCATAGCTGTTACAGAGTCACTGTGAGATGCCTGTAATTATAGGTTAGTTAGTATAGTTTGTTTACCTTAATCACATTTTCTAGAGCATAAGAAAAAATGTGATTCAATAGTAACTTAAAAGTTTTATTAAAAAGTAGCCGATGCTGAGTAGTAGTAGCATCATGGACTCTTTTCTGAACTTTTTCAAACGTCCTGAATTTTCCTACAACTTTGATTTCTAGAAAAGTGAAATTTAAACATGCTTGTTAATAATGTGCTGTTGCAGACCTTGTGTTCCAGCTCTCCCCTTTGATTTTTCACTGGCAGGCCAGAAACGACCTCCTAGAAGAGGGGAGCAGCAAGGATGGAATGATAGCCGGGGGACAGAGGTGACGCTGGATAGAGCAGAGCGGAGATCTTACAGAGACTACCAACCCTATGAGACTGAGAGGCAGGCGGAGTTTACACCTGAGAAGTTGACAGATGAAAAGTATGTATTGCAGACAGACCTCGTCCAGGAGGATTGGGGAACCAGAAGGGTTATCAGAGAACTACTAGCCTTTGCAATCTTTTCATAGTATCAGTCCTGGGAATATTTTGCCAATTCAAGTAGCAAATCATATGACCTTAGGTGACAGATAAAGGATCTTCCATTTATCTCCCAGGTGACCTTGGTTTAGGAAATGATTTTATGATGAAAAAAGAATTGTTATTGGTTACTATGAAAAGCGCTCTCGTAAAAAACTGCACAAGAGTATGTTAGACTGGTTAAATTTTCTTTTGAAGTTTAGGCTAGGGATATAATTATGTTTTTGATTTACCATTACTAATTTAGACTACTAATGAATTTAAACAAATTCCCTGCCCCGTGTTCAGGTCAATAGGCTATCATGATGAAATTTGAAGAAAAATGGGTATAACGTGTAACACCGATTTCTGGCTTCCAGCCTCCTCTAGAAGGTTCTCTGACCTGGAAGATGGTCTCGGGCTGGTACAGTCTGACACCACTACTGAGTGATGTGGCAGCATGCAGGCCATTGTGCCCACCTGTACACAGGTAGCAGTCCTTGTTCCCAAGGACAGGTGCTTGCTTCCTAAAGATTCTGTTTAATTATTAAACCTATACAGCACTGAGTTTAGATTAAACCAAAACAACTTGCGAATCACAGTCAAAGGAAAATAAAAGGTAAAACTAAGGATGATTATAGTAGTGTACAGTTCAATGTCAAGGGAGTCATTATTCCCAAAATCTTTCAACTTCTTGACTACTAATTCCATTTCGGATCCTGGCTACAAGTTTTCGCTGAAGAGCATGGCTTGGTAAAACTATATACTAGAGCCCATTAAAATAAGCCAAAAAAAAAAAGAAGAAGAAGAAGTCTAGCAGAGAATAGCTCAGTCTGAGAGGGTTGAGCAGGTGGTAACTTCTGCAGATCTCTTCTCTAGCAGGTACACATTCAGAACATTCAGATGGTGTATCTGCCACCATATTGGCGGGTAAAGGTTAGAAAACAGCCTAATTATGCCTTCTTTGGTGATTACTTCAAATCTGTTTTGTAAAGGTCACAGTTTACATGCTTATAAAATGGCTTCTGGATCAGAGCTGCTTATTTTAGGAAGCATTTGTGTATTTTTTTTTCTCACTTCAGGAATTCTTGTGTCTTTCTCAGTGTATCACATTAGAAATATGTGGAAATAAGGTAATTATAGCTCAAAAGCACAAACCCATGTTTCTAGCTTTTTTTTTAGTAGCAAAACTATGAGTCTTTAGATAGGTCTTTACATGTTATCATGAAAAGATGCCTATTAATTATACATGTATGTAAGGGTAGGGGTAGGGTGGGATATGGGATTATGAAGGGATCTTTTCTTTTTCCTCAAAAATAATTTCAGATTTACAGAAAGTTGCAAGAATTATACATATACCCTCATCCCGATTCCCCAAATTTTAACATTTTACATTTGCTTTATCATACCTCTCCTTCCCTTTCTCCCTCTTTTTCTTCCCCTACACATTCTTTCTGTGTGTCTTAGCTATATTTCTCTCATACACACACACACACACACACACACACACACACACACACCAAACAGAAGAAGAAGTGGGAACACACACACACACACACACACACACACACACACACACACACACACACACACACCCCTTCTTTCTTTGTCATTTGAGAGTAAGATGAGGGAATGTCCTTTTATCCCTAAATACTTTAAAAAATATATTTCCTGAAAATATGGTACAATTATCAAAATTATTAACATTGATACAATTCGATTGCATTCTCTAAATTATGTAATCTATAGACTACTCAAATTTTAACAAATGTCCAAGTAGTGTCCTCTTACCAAAAAAATAGTCTGGTTCCAAATCCATTCCAAGAATGTGCATTTCATTTAGTCTTCTTTCATTTGGAACAGCTCCTTAGTCTTCCTTTATCTTTTATGAAATTTGACATTTTTGAAGAGTTTGTGCCAGTTGTTCTGTGGTACAGCCCAGAATTTGAGCTCGTCTGATATTTTCTCATAAAACAAGCTTGTGCACTTTGGCAGGACTACCACAGAGGCAAGGGCTTGTATCTTTCTCAGTGTATCATGTTAGAAACAGGTAGGAATTTTTACTTTCAACGAAGTTTGAATTTTTGGATAAGTCGTGCTATCAGAAGACATTTTTCTTAGTTTCTTAAAAAGCACTGTTCTATTAATAAAGGTCCATAAGATCTTCGATAAAAATAATTAATAGTCACTTTAGACAACTTGGAAAATGTGTGAAATTATATATAAAAAAAAGTTTAAGCCACCTATCTTAACATCCGAGATGATTACTCTTAACACTTGACGTATTTTCCTTTTTTTTAATACATAGATATACTTAGATGTTAAGATGATAATGCATGTACACTGAGTGTATTCTTTTCCCTGAACATGGCAGAAGTTTTTTCCATGTCATTAACAATGTTTGGTAAGCATTTTTAATGGTCCTGTTATGATCTGTTGTTTGGATATGTTATAATGTAATCATTCCCTTAGTGTTGGACTTTTGTTCATCTTCTAGTTTTTGCTTTATAAATAATACCCAATGAGTAGCTTTTTGTATATGTAGAGACTTTCCTATATGGAGTTTTAGAAGTGGGAATCCCAGTTAGAGTCATAAATCAGTGGTTCTCAGCTGGGTGTTGTGGACACAAATCTGAGACTCAGTTGTCCTTCTGCACAAGGTCGGATGGGTACATATAGTGTGAAAACATAATTCGAGTGAGGGGGCATTGATACATAGTGATTAATCACTATCCTAGTAACCTATCAATTTACTCTATTATTAATAACCTATAAAAGCCTTTCTCATAGCCCTTTCTCAGGACTTGAATATAATGAACTGTTTGATCTTTGCTTATTTGATAGTGAAAAATGGTATCACTTTGCATGTATGATACCTATACATGTTCATTAGACAGAATTATAGAATCTTGATAATCTTAATAGACTATCTTAATTCAGTCCTCTTGATTTATCGATAAGGAAACAAAGAGCCAGAATCTCGATAATGTAGACTCCGGTCACAGCCAGCTGACATGATTTTTTATTCACCTAAAGTGGAACTCATGTTTTCATGTAGAAGTAACGTAAATGGTGCTCAGAGTAACTGTCAGGGTGGCTCGCATGTAGAGATCAGCCACATATGTCACTTGTTGCATGTGGTCTGGGAGTGCATCTGCTGTTTTTAATGCAGTAGGAATTTTTCTTTAGGCTCCAAATGATGAACTTAAGTGAACTCTTAGACTTTTAGGAAATTAGTTTGCCTCTGTCTGGATACATTTTGATTTGTTTCTTTGGCTCTTTTTGCAATTTACTGCTGGTCATTTAAAGTTAGTTCCATTCTGAGAGAATCAGATGTTTCAGTTTTTTTCCCCTCCTCATAGGGAAGCATTTAAAAAAATCGTGGTAAAATATACATAATATTTACCATTTTGACCACTTTTAAATGTATAGTTCAGTGGCGTTCAGTCCATTCACATTGTTGTGCAACCATCACCACCATCCTTTCCTAGAACCTTTTCCTCTTCCCCAGCTGTAAACACCAACTCCCCATTTCCATGTCCGTGAGCTTCATTCCCTTTACATGTAAAACAGGTACTCAATGTCTACTTACTAGGATTATTGTAAGAGAGTGGGTGACAGGCATGTAAAGCGGGATGCTTAGCTCAAATGTTATTTTCCTTTTGCTTGTGAGTACATCACAAAGCTTCCTAAGTGAAGTATGGAATTCCTCAGTCTCACTAACCTATGAAAAAGAAGATGTATTTTATGATAAGGGGATAATAAAGAAGCAATTGAGAATATATTTAATTGGGAGTAAGGTGGGAGTAAGCCTGTGGAGTAAAAGAATAATGGTTTAAGGGATTCAGATATACCAGAACACATAGCTGTTTTTAGGGTCAGTATCATCACTATTATAGTTTAAATGAATTTGTTATTTTGTCTGTATCTGATTTAGATTTCCTGTAAATTTAGACCGGATTTTGACTGTTGCATTATTTGCCATTATGTTTTTGTGCTTCATTTTCTCTCAATTTTTAGGTAGACTTTTTTCCTTTCATGGCCCTTTCTAACTCCTGGTTAAGAACTGTTACTTTCCTTTTGTCATTGTGTTAACTCCACTTTAGGTGTAATATAGAATCAGATTTTACAACGATAATCTCTAAACATTTGATTTTGTTCAGGGGAGGTAGGAAACAGAAAAGGCAACTTGGAAAATTTATTTAGGATGATGTTTCTTATAAGAGACTGGCATAAAGTTAATGATCGATGCTTCTATATTTCGTTATCTTTTTGAGTAAGGAAAATTAGGAGTTTTGTATCTTTTACCCATGATTGTATAGTAGCTTTTTAATGTAACATTTTCAGCCATAAAAGTAGATTGGAACATACCTCTAGTTCTGGTATTTGAGCCACTAATGCCCCATTAGATTTCAGTAAGTAATTTGTTGTGCCTTTAATGTTTTTAAAAACCTCGACAAATTAAAAAATAATATATCTTATTAAACTAGGGGTTAATGATAAAACGATGTGATCCTTTCCACAGGAGCTTTGAGTCTTGTGGAGGAGACGAAAATCCTCATGAAAAGTAGTGGCGACCAGATATGAGGCAGAGACAGGTGTGAGAAGTAGGTGGGCAGCTAGGCTCTGGGTTTAGTGGGTGTCGCAGGGGAAGAAGGGAGGAGTGGAAAAAAGGCCTGGTTCTTGGCTTGGGCACTCTTGTGTTGTGAGTTAGGAACTGTAGAAGCAAGCGGTCAGTGTTGCTCATATGTCTGCAGGGCTGAGGGATGTCCAGGAAGTAACTGGCTTTGTGGCCTGGAATCAGAGAGACCCCCAAGTGAGAGAGACAGGGTGGCATGAATGAGGGCAGTGTAAGACAAGGACAGTATATGCGGGGAACTGAAAGTTGAGAATGCCAGTGCACTTATGGGCAAATGGGTGTCCAGGAGAACGAGGGAGGCAACTGTGGGCAGAGCACCAAGACGTGGTAGGTGAAAAAGGCAAGGTACAGAACTTTTTCCTTTGTGTGACTCCGGAAGTACCTGCCTCTGAGAAGTAGAAATACATGGCTAAGAAGCAAGGGTGTACCATGTGAATTTTGTACCATGCGTGGGTATTACCTATTGCAAAAATAATTTTTAAGGACAGGCTAGGAAAGAGAAGCAAGAAAGGCCAGAGGAAAATATAGTGGTCAGCAGTGTCATATGGTGAATGGGGGATCAGATGACATGAAAATAAAAGTTGCTATTGGATTTGACAACGGAGGATTTTCAGTTGTCCTTGGAAGTTTATGTGGGGCAATAGAAGTCAGGTTGTTGTAGGTTAATCTTTTCAGTCCTAAATGTCATTGACTGGTTTTATTTTTGGGACAGGGAGATTTGGGAGGGGGCATAATTTGAAGTTTAACCATTTTTCTTGTTGTACAAAACATTCCAAATTTAACTTAAATATTTAGTATTAGAACTGGAATAAACCCTAGAGTCTCCTTATCTAATAATCTCCTCATTTTATAAATGAGGAAGCAATATCTAGAGAGAGAAAGGGCTAGCCCTCTACAGATTACTATAAGACCTGCCCAGGACCTGCTTCTTTTTGATGGCTCTCCCACTTAGCAGCCATATGACCTGGGGCAAGTTACCTACCTCCCCTGTGCCTCAGTTTCCTCATCTTGGGCAGTAGTTATGTATTACACATTTGTTTGTGAGAATAAATGACTATGTGAAGTGCTCAGAACAATGCCAGTAAAAGTTAACTATTTATTCATTATTCAAGCCACCATTCTTTCTAATGTATTATAGCCATTATAATGTCCTTCTAGAATTTTTTATCTCAAAAAAGCCTTATCTCTTTACTCTAATTCACTGCTTTTTATTATACCCATTTTTTCCTAGACCAGTCGATAGATTTGATCGAGAAAGACCACTGAGAGGACGCGGAGGCCCAAGGTGGGGCCTGAGGAGCAGAGGCAGAGGTGGTCCTGGGAACAGAGCTTTTGATGGTTTTGACCAGAGAGGGAAACGGGAATTTGAGAGATACGGTGGGAATGATAAAATGTAAGTTTTTTGTAAATACTATTTTCACCGTAAGATCTTAGTCATACCTAGTATGAATCTGTTGTTTGTTAATATTTAGTTGACTTTATATAGTATGCTGTTATTCCTGAGGGAGCTGATCCTAGGACAGCTTTTATGATCATCTTTTCTGAGTTGGAGATCGACTGGAGACTAGCTTCCAGTTTAAGGGAGTATTTTTTCTTTCTTTAGAGCAATCAGAACTGAAGACAGTGTGGGTGGATATGGAGTTCGCACCTGGGGATCAGGTAAAGATACCAGGTATGGTGCCAATATCTGCCTTCTGTGAACCTACAATTCAGTGGAAATCCCTGAATCTTTATTTGCCTTTGGTAAAAATTTTGTCCTCTGTGTTGTGCTTGCATTGTCTTTATACTGGTGTACCCTTAAGTAGAGATCATGATTAGATTTGAAAACTGCTTTTAAAATTCTTTCATTTTATCTTATTTTAGCCAAACAAATTTGTGTATTTGCTGATGCCTCAAGCACATGACATTGTACATTTGCATATGCCTCAGAATGCTTTTTAAATTCCTAGGTATTCTATACTTTATTTTTTTGTTACCTTCCAAAGTTCTTGTGTACATTGCATCTTGATTTCTTGAAATCATTTGCAGATCAAAGCTCAGTGACAGGTTTCACCTAAGGTTCAAATTTGGCATTTCTCTGAGGCATCACGGTGTCTCAGACCTGTGGCAGTTTGCTCCTTAGAGAAGGTAATTGGTTCTGCTCTTTCTGTCATTTCACATCTGTAGGGACAGTGCCTTCCTGTTGTCTGCAAAAGAATAGGTACACAACACTTCAGGGCAGTGCAGGGCGAGGAATGGGTCGCCTTGGGACATGCTGCAGGGCCGGCTTTCCACAGATTTGAATGCTTGAGGAGACCCAGACTTCCACTTTTCTTCTTTTGAAGACTATAAGCTTTTTACAGAAACTTTTTTCTCTTAAATCATTATCCTTAAAGACAAATATGTACAATAATAGCAAATGTGATATTAGATTTACTACCGTGTACATCTGTATTGTCCTTGAAAGGAAGAGAAAGTTGTTGAACGTTCTCAATCTGTAATTCCGTAGGATCTCAATTACAAATCTTTTCATTGTGTTTTATTTTGCTGTGATGATATATTTTTAAGAAGTAATACACGCACCTTCTGAATCACCTGATTTACTACTTTATCTAATACTCCTACTCCATTTCAGTTTGCATTTGAATTTAAAATTATTTTGGCTCCAAGTCATTACTTACCCCTAATGGGTCAGTGTTGGCCTTGTAACATGAAGAGGTGACCATATGTTCTCCTTGTAGACTGGCGTCTCGTCTGAAGATGAGGTGCCTCATGACACTCATTTTGGATTGGTTTGTGAGTTATAAGTCAGAGCTCTGAGGTAGTAGTAACTTGTAATTGAAAGATTTTTTTGTAGGTAAGACTTTAATTGCTTATTTAATAGAGACTTTGATTTCATGTACTATGTGAAAACCATGTAGTACAGTAGAGTTATGTGCTACTTTGTGTGCGTGTGTGCACGTGTGTGTGGCACTTTTGATGAATGAGAAAAGAGCAGAGATGAGCCTAACAGTAAGTGATATATCCATGTCTGGCGAGGCCAGATGCCGCATAATGCACAGTAGGGGTGAGGATTCTCTGTAGTTTGGTATTCCTGTTTGAAGACATTGGCAGCATAACTAGACTTGTGGACAAGCTGTTTTTAAAATAGTGTGACTGAGCAATTTCTGGTGTTACTGGTTTTCAGAACAGTGATTGCCTGTGCTGAAAATAGAATTTTCTCCATTGGCAGTAGTTTAAAAAATATAGTGTCAAATATTATTTTCTTGTTATCAGTTGGAATAGACAACCACGAATGTAGTTTTTGATAATGTTGCCTTCCAGCTTCTGTTGCGAAGAGCGAGACGGTTTTATGTAGTAATCAAGCAACATTTATTTGGTTAAGATCTGTTCACTGTCATAGATTTGGTTAAGTGTGAAGTCTGATTGAATTTGAACTGGAAAACAAAGACTTGAGGTGTTTCACATTGATTTGTGGAACATACTTGTGCAAACAGGCATTTTTTCGTGTTAGAATAACTAAAGTCAGAATGTAGATAGACTTGGGCCCTGGAACTATATCTTTCTTCTAATTAATCCAACGTTGGTAATTTACATCAAACAACATTAAAAAATCTGCCACAATAAATTATAGCTAATTTTGAAACTTCATTGTTTTGTAGTTTTTGTCATATGGTTCTATAAGAGCCACAAGTACAATGTTAGTTTTATGTTTAGTCATAAAATAATTTAGGTCAATACAGGATGGAGATCTGTGATTTTTCTTTAAAATCAGTTGCTCAATAGACTAGTGGTTACCAGAGTGTAGGGGGAGGGGAGATGTAGATAGGGTAAAAGGAGTCAAATATGTGGTGACAGAAAGAAATCTAACTATAGGCAGTGAACACACAATACAATATATGCCTTATTGTTGAATTTTATACCTGAAACTTACTAGATTTCATTAACTAATGTCACCATAATAAAAATTAATTAATTTAAAAAAAGAAAAGAAAATCAATTGCTCAAGTTTAAGAAATTCTTGTTTTCACATAGTCTCTTTGTTTTGTATTCTGCTTTTTTTACCTTTATCTTTGTAACCCTTTTATGAATTTTAATTGTTGAAAGCTATGAACAGTTAGTACACCTATGTTTTTTATCCCCTTGGTTGTTATGTGGCCAAGGAAATAAAGAGAAAGTTGGTGTAATTCAGTGCTGCAGCTGCTGCTGGACTTTGGGGCTCCTGGATGCTAAAAACTCCGATGACCTTGCTGGGTTAGGCCAATGTGCCAGAAGCGGTCTTTGTGAAAGGGCTACCGCTGAGCAGAGCAGCAGCGATGTCTTTCCAAGCATGAGTGCGTTTGATTTGGGACCTTTTTTAAAAGTAAAAACTATTCTAATTTTGTGTTGAAAAACTGACTTGTTTTTTAAAGTTGATTACAATAGCTTTGAGTTGATAATAAAAATTTTTTAAAGTTTATTCTGTTATTACAGTTCAATTTATGTTTACTTTTTTTAAAAAAGCTGGGTTCTATTTGTAAAGTGTAAGATATTTCTAATGGATATATAATAATATCCACTATATCGACTTTATATATCTATTACATACATACTCAATTATATTGACTAATTTTAGCATTTTTCTGAAAATGAAATTTATTTTACTGGGACTTTTTTTTAAAAGTAACGTTCGGATAGATTAATGTTAATATAAAAAGGAAGAATTAAGATCATATACATTAAAATTCAAATTGTTTTCATTGTGTTGTAATTTTCTAATCTGTAGATTGTATTTAGATGTGCTGGTTTATAAATTAGTGTTTCAAAGCCTTTTTTTTTCTGGTATAGTTACCACCAGCTTGTTTGTAATCCTATACACTTATTTTTGTGGAACGTTTTTACTTTCTTACCATTTTCTAAAAGTTTGATATGGCATATTCTTATCTAAGTCATTTAACACCCTAGAGAATCCACAACATTCTCTAACAGGTTGAGGATTTTTATGGCCCCCATTAATATTGGGAATTTCCTAAGATAATAAGAGTTTTGAACAATTCTTCTGGTTCTTTACAATCTGTGTTTAATTTTAGGCCATTTATAGAAACTTCTGTTTCTCAAAGTATTTTTCACATTTGTGGAAATAATTGATATGATATGGATTAGCAAGAGCATTTTTTCGTTTTCATTTTGATGTGGGTTACCTGTATGTGTATAAAATTCCTTTGAAGGATATTAAGAAAAAGGACATTGAAATGTTCTTTTGTATCTTAAATATCTAAGAGCATTGATATGAACAAGTCTGTGTGACGAGAGTGGGTCTTACTGCTTTTCAGTGACGTGGAGCTGATGGTGCCGATGGAGGAGACTGCTGTGCTGGAGGAGCCACCAGGTTCCCTGGAGGAGGGGTCTCCAGCCAAGTAGGTGTTTCATTCATTTTCCACATTGGGGTGTTGGTCTTTTTCTTACCGATTTTTAAGAGCTCTTCACAGATCAGGAAGCCCAGCCTTTTGTCATATCACAGGGTTGATCTACTTAATGTATTAATGAATAATCAAACTAATTAGTAACTCAAATAATCTAATGAATCATTATTAATGATAATTAATGGGTTAAATTCAAGTCTTCTGTTCTATGCCCACCACCACTTTTCCATCAGCAGCCTGCTCTGCACTGTCAGGACCCCCTTCTCTCGTGTCTTTATTCTCTCCCAGTCTCTCCCTCTTTTCTTCATGCAGCCAAGGTCTCTGGTCTATCTCTAGCACTCCTGCCAACTCTTTAAACTCTCTTGCCCCTTAAATTTTTGTTGTATCTTGCTAGCAGACTCTGCCTCCTAGATCACGATTAGCTACTATCTGCCTTCTCTCCGTCTGCATCCCCCGGCTGATCACTACAAGTCACAGCGGGGCTGGTGGGAACCCCTGTAAATGCTTGATCACCAGCATTGTGAGATGAGCCCTCAACACCACCCAGCAATCCCCATTTCTTGAGTTTACTCTTTCTCTACCCCGCTCTATGACTGATTTAATCCTTCTTGTTTTCTCAAAGCCCTGACACTGCCTCCTACTTGTCCACACCACCTCTTTCATTTTCTAGATGTAACTTTGCCCCCGATATCACAGGGAAATTAGGAGCCATCAGATGGGAAACTTCATCACCTTCTCACTCCCAAAAGTGCAAACCTGCAGGTGTAGACCTGCATGCTTCCTAGCCTCCATCCCTTGTAGTAAAGTGAAGGTACCATCTCTCCTCCCACTTCTTCAGGATTTGGATCTTGGATACTGTTTCCTGTTGACTTCACAGAAACCTCACATCATCACTTAGCCCCTTCCTTTTTAGGTATACTTGCCTCCTTCTTTCCAACTCCGGTCTTTCAATCAACATTCTAAATATGCTCAATTTCTCCTATTTTAAATCTGCTTTTGCCCCTCTTTCTTAATTAGCTACCTTTTTCAGAGTCATGTACTCTTTCTTCCTGTCCTCCCCTCTCTCTTAATCCTCACTTCACATCTGGCTCTGTCCTTGTTGCCCTTCTGAAAAAGTCACCACATTGTCTCAGGCCTAATAGGTGTTTTGGTCTGTGTTGTTTTTGACCTCTCAGAGCATCTGACTTTATCTATTTCTTCTTGAGCTTACCCTACCTTTGGTTTCTGTGTTTCCTGCCCTCTTCTGGCTTTCCTTCTGCTTCTCAGCTCCATTTTTGCACACTCATCTTTGTCTTTCTTGTCTTTTAAAGTATTGAGTTATTCAGGGCTTTGCCTCAGGCTTTCTTTTCTTTCTTCAGCATCTCTTTATAGCAGCGGTCCCAACCTTTTTGGCACCAGAGACTGGTGCTCCTTTGAGAATCTAATGCCTGATGATGATCTGAGGGGAGCGGCTGCAAATGCAGATGAAGCTTCACTGGCTTCCCCACCGCTCACCTCCTGCTGTGTGGCCTGGTTCCTAACAGGCCACGGACTGATACCAGTTCTCAGCCCGGCGGGTGGAGACCCCCGTTTTATGAGATCTCATGCACCACGAAGCTTGAATTGCCATTTATATGCCAACTCCAGAATATATGCCTCTGACTCCAAACTTCAGCATGGACTCCTGGCCTGTGTACCCACCTGCCTGCTAGACACCTCCCTTTCAACATCTCAAATGCTCTTCCTGCACAGCTTATCCAGGACTGAGGTCCACACACCTCCGGTCCTCATTAAGTGTTTCCATGTTGTGGAACAACATTGCCATTCATCCATTCATACAAACTAGAAACGTAGGAATCATCCTTGAAACTTCCTTCTTCTTGACCTCCTCCCTCCCCCAAGTCCAATCAGTCACCCTGCCTGGGTTATTTGTATCTTCTAATATCCACCACCTCAACTTACCACCGTCGTCACAGGTGATATTTGATCAGTCACCTTAGCTCCTGAGAGGGCTCCCTGCATTCTATCCTTCCACCGACTGTCGCCATACCAGAAGTGACTTTCACACTGGCAGTCTGATATTCATGCTTCATGCCTTGGATTAGACCTCTGCTGGCTTCCTGTCCTTTTTCTGTTCCTCGTCCTGGCTTGCATGGTCCTGCAGGTCCTGCATCGTTTGGCCCCAGAGCTCCTGTGCGTTCTCTGGGTTCACAAGTTGGCCCTTATTTTATGTTTCCAAATACCTTTCTCCTGCCCTTCCCCTACACCTGCCACTAAACTTTTGCAAGTACCATTTCCTTTTTCTCTGTACCTCTCCTCCAAGCCCCCTTCCATCTTTCACCTATTTAACTTTCATTTATCTTTCAGCTGCCAAGAGGCAGGGTGTCTGGTGGTAAGAGCATGGACTCCAAGCCAGTATACTGGGTTCCGATCCCAGCTCTGACACTTACTAGTTTGGGCAAGTTTTTTAATCTCTGTGCCTCGATTTTCCTCATCTGTAAAATGGGAATAGTAATGAGATCTACGTCAGAGAGTTGTTATTAGGAGACAGGGGATGTGTTTATGTGGTAGAGTGGGGCTTGGCATATATTAAGTGCTCTATAAATATCTGCTATCATTATTGTTATTTGTTGCAAGAGTAAAATGCTACAATGATTGTTAAAGCTGTTAATTTACCAGTCATTCAAAACAACTAAAAAAAATACATTTAATTAAAGAAATAAATTAACAGTTAATATGACAGTGAGTTAACTAAATAGGTTAACAGTGTATACGAATGTTGAGAAAATGAGTTAACTCTTAGGAAAAATTATATCCTTTTTGAGCCAATAAACCATTTGTACAAATTCAGGTAACTTAAGGCAGAATAATAGAGAATAAATTATAGCATTACTCTAATCTGTAGAGTTGATCAAGGTACTCTAGCACTGATAGTAGTAGACAAAATAATTCTTTCAATTAATCAATTACTCTGAAAGACAAAATAATACTTAATGATTGGTGGCAGTCTCATTGTCTGCAATATCCTAGCAGAGCCGGCCAGCAAATCTTTGTCTTTCTTTTCTGTCAACCATGAGCATTTAGTTAGAATAGCAGGAGCTACACTGTAGAGCAGCTGCACAGGCAGTCGAATGGCAGATTGTGCTGAGAAATTTTTGTTTCTGCACTACCTTATCAAGTGTTAAAATTATTAGTAAAATTTTTAATAGTTAGAATTTTTTGTTAATTTCAAAATTAAGCTTGTATGTGAGAAATAATACATTTGAGAATGGTGATGCTTATTCAGCCAAAATGTATATTCAGAGCCTCTCTTGGTTTAGAACTTCTTGATAGATGAATTTAATGTACAAGCTTTATAATTTTGGATTTTATACTTACGTCTGTAACCCTTTTTTAAAAAAAAGTAATATGTATTTATTTGATCAATTTTGAGTTGATTTTTGTATACGGTGTGAGGTATGGATAGAAGTCCCCCCTTTTTTTTCATATGCATATCCAGTTATTCCAGCATATTGAACATCCACCTCCTAAATCAGTTGCCCATGTATATATCGTATATATCGGCCTATTTCTGTACTCTCTGTTTTGTTCATTGGTCTGTGATATATTAATATCACACCATCTTGATAATTTATTTGTTGAAGAAAATAGGTCATATGTCAAGAGTTTTCCTAGAGTCAGAATTTTACTGATTGTATTCCTGTGGGCAGTAGTATGCTGGCTAATATTTAACATCTGGTTCTCTAGGATGACAAAGCTCACATCTATTGCACTTGCTGGTTTCTGTGGTGTAAATGTTCTCACCACGGCTGATTTAAAACTACCAAAATGACATCACTGAATACAGAGTTGGGAAGAGATTTGCGATAGTACACCATTGTGTAGTATTTCTACTATACACATACAGTGGGTATAAATAACCCCAGAAGCACAGATAAAGGTAAAATGTAGTGAAGTAATTAGAGAACAGTGACTTGTGAATATTTATTACTTTTTTAAAAAGTATAGTTAATTATAAATTTATATAATTTAATTTTTAACTGACTGTGTTAACAACTGGCTCATAAAATTCCTGAAATTTAACAATTGGCTCTATGACTTGGTGCAAACCAATTCCAGCACAGCATTGTTTATATAGTAGTTGAATGTCTTTCTCTGCTCCCTACATTTTGTGTATTTCCTAAAAATTAATAGTGAGAGGCAGAGGTTTAATCAAGTTCAGGTTTGACTTTTTGACAAGGTTGTTCCATAGGTTATGGAAGGTCACTGATTATCATTGCCTTTATTCATTAATTCATTAGGGCTGCAAATTGGTGATAGTCTAATTCTGTCATTCTTTCTTCATTTATTAGCTGGAATGATCCGTAAAGGAAAACTTAGCTAGAAATAGTTGATTACACTGAGGTATAAGTTTGTTAAGGAAATGCAGGATAAAGGAAAGGTACTTGTTACATAAAAGATTGCAGGTACCTTTTATTTATCTATTTTCAGAATAATGAGTTGGTTCCCTAGCATGTCATTATGAACTTAGAGATCTAAACATATTCGATGTGTTTCAATACACTGAGTTTTTATTCTTACGGGTGCTTAAGCTGACTCATTTTTTGACTAGAGGGAGCCTCTTCAAGTTGATTCTTGATCCTTTTGACATTCAATGGTCTTTGATGGCTTCCTTGTTTCCGGTAAGACATGTTGTTCCAGACTCATTATCTATACTTTCTACCCCATACTTCATACCTCATACTGACTGATTTTTCAAGGAGCCATAGTCCTTAAATAGAATATGGTATTTAGAGATCATAGTCAGGGCACTAGGGGTGTTCACTACTATTAGGTTCTTAACTGTTTCTAGGACATTTAACTGGGCTGAGCTGGGAAGTAGACATACACACATTTTTAAGGTAAAATATATTATGAGTTCATTCAATATTTCCATTTGAAATTTATGACTAGAATATTTTAAGCTACATTTTCTTACATTTGTTTCTTTTTCTTTTGTGCTGAAAATCCCAATTGTCAGTAACATCATACTATTACTCATTTGTGACACCCACAGTATTCAATAATTTGATTACTAAAAAGTTATATATAGAGAAATGAGTCAATTCATATTTTCAAGGTACTTTAAATAGTTTCTTCTGTTATATCACCAACTTGATAATTAATTTGCCTAATTTTGCTTCCAAATATTAGAGATTAAGATTTAATTTAAACCCGTTTTATAATTATATAAAATATTTATGTTTCCAAAGTACAATCTTATAAAACATATTTCCCAACCAGCTTCTATCCCAGTTTTTTCCCTAGTTTACATTACAATTATAAAAAACATTACAATTATATAATATAAATTATATTTAGATGTCTGTCTATGTCTTAGGTGAATAATAACATACATTCCACTTTGCTTTTTTCTTCAATATATCCAGGAAGTTCTACATAGCAATGCATAGAGAGATTCCTCATTCTTTTTAAAACTGCTTAATATTCATGTTTAATATCTGATTTTTCCACCATATTTCTCTGAGATGAGTTTGGGTCATTTTTAGCATTTTGCTGTTACAAGTTTTAATGTCTTTTCATATTTTTACCAATATTAGTTTGAGATATGTTTGACTATTAGGCTTTTCCAGCATTTTATTATGAAAAATTTCAAAAACAGCAATGTTTAAAGAATTCTACAGTAAATACCTATACCCACCAGCTAAACTGATATAAAATTTATATATTGTGAAGTGGATAAAAATAAGTATACAGTCATTGTTTTGACAAATGCATATACTTGTGGGACCCACACTCTGTCCAGATACAGAATGTTATCATCGTCCCAGAAAGTTCTCTCATACTTCTTCGGAGGCAACCAGTGCTTTGATGTCTTTTCTGCCATCAGCTTGGTATTTTAAAGTCCTTTTACAAATGTGACTATTTTGGATCCTCTATGATTAGATTTCTCACCTGATTTTGCTTATATATTTTATATCATCAATCTGTAGTCTAGAACCTTAAATTAACATTAGCTCTTCAGTGAAGGTATTAGAGATTTGATTCCCTTCCTGCTCCCCACTTAATGATTTTTTTCTTTTAAACCTTATAAACCTTGAGATATAATTTCTATACTATACAATTCAGCTGTTTAAAACTATACAATTCAGTGGTTTTCGATATATTACATTATTGATTTTTTTAAATGGTGGTAAAATATACATAACATAAAACTTGCCATTTTAACCATTTTCAATTGTACAGTTTAGTGACATTAATTGCATTCACATTGTGTGCAACCGTCACCACCATCTGTCTCTGGAAGTTTTTCATTGTTGCAAATGGAAACTCTGTACCCATGAAATAATAACTTCCCGTTCCCTTCTCCCCTCAGTCCCTGGTAACCCTTATTCTACTTTGTCTCTATGAATTTGCCTATTTTAGGTACCTCACATATGTGGAATATAATACTTGTCATATTGTGTCTGGCTTGTTTCACTTAGTATGTTTTCAGGTTCATCCATGTCATAGGATGTATTAGTACTTCATTTCTTTTTTGTATATTCTTTTTTTAGTGGTAAAATACATATAACATAATTGAAAGTGTGCAATTGACATATAGTACATTCAGTGTTATACCACCATTATCATTATCTAATTCCAGAACATTTTCGTTACCCCATACCCATTTAGCAGTCACTTCCTATCTTCTCTCTCCCAGTCCATGGCTACCACTAATTTGTGTTCTGTCTCTATGAATTTGCCTTTTCTGGATATTTCATATAAATGGTATCACACATTAGCTTTTTGTACCTGACTTATTTCACTTAACATAATGTTTCCAAAGTTTATTCATGTTGTAATATGTATCAGTACTTCATTTCTTCTTATAACCAAATAATGTTCTATAATATACATATACCAATTTTTTGTTTACCATTTATCAGCTGATGGACATTTAGGCTGTTTCTACTTTTTGGCTATTATAAATAATGCTGCTGTAAACAGCATTATCGAATATTTATGTGAGCCTTAGTTTAAATTTTTACATGGACATATGTTTTCATTTCTCATGGGTATATACCTAGGAGTGGCATTGCTAGGTCAGATGGTAGCTCTCTGTTTAAATTTTGAGGAACTGTCAGACTTTTCCATAATAGCCACATCTTATGTTCCCACCAACAGTATATGAGGTTCCAATTTCTCCACATCCTCACCAAAAAGAACACTTTTTAAAATGTTCTTTTTGATTCTAACTATCCCAGTGAGTGTGGAGCGGTGTAAGTTATTGTGGTTTTGATTTGCATTTCCCATATGGCTAATGATGTTAAGCATCTTATTGGCTATTTATAGACCTTTTTTTTTTTTTTGAAAAATGTCTGTTCAGAGCTTTGCCTATTTTTCAATTGGGTAATTTCTTTTTATTGAGTGGTAAGGTTCCTTTATGTATTCTAGATGTCAGTCCCTTATCACATATATATTTGCATATATTTTCTACCATTCTGTGGGCTGTCTTTCTACTTTCCTGATGGTATCCCTAGGAGTACAAAGTTTTCAGTTTTGGTGATATACATTTTATTTGTTTTCTTTGTTGCTTGTACTTTTGGTGTCATATGTAAGACACTATCGTTTAATCCGAAGTCATGAAGGTTTATACCTACGTTTTCTAGAGTTTTGTACTTTTAACTCTTATATTCATTCTTTCACATGTGGATATGTAGTATTCTCAGCACCGTTTCTTGAAGAGACTGTTCTTTCTCCTGTCTTTGGAACGTAGTCCAAAAAAATTCAATCGATCATAAATGTGAGGGTTTATTTCTGGACTTTTCCATTGATCTACATATCTATCTTGTTTACTTTTTAAAATTTGTGAATTTAAAGGGGATATTTACAAAAGTATGCATTTGTGGCCCATTGCTTTATAATCCCTGTTTATGGTTCCCTGTATTTGTTTTGGTCTCAATAGCTTCTCCCATTTTCTTTTGCAATTATCTAATTTATGTGTAATACCATCTGGGAAGGGAGAGGCTGGTGGTAAAGTGCAATGTGAATGTTATTGGGATAGTGATGTTCCTGCTTTTCAAAGACTGCTTGGACACAGACGGGAAGTATCTTCAGTTGACAGTAATGGCATAAAATGATGAAAATAAAATAAGGAAGCTTATGGCTCAAAAAGTTTTTATCTTAGATTACAGATGCAGTACCATGAAAGTATGTTAAACTAATGCTTATGACTTTTTCTTTGAGAAAATAGACATTTCAGACCCATCAAAAATTATTCTTTATGATTACATTTCATAGAGTTCCTGAGTTGGAGGTAGAAGAAGAAACTCAAGTTCAAGAGATGACCCTAGATGAGTGGAAAAATCTTCAAGAACAGACCAGACCAAAGCCTGAATTTAACATCCGGAAACCTGAGTCCACCGTCCCTTCCAAAGCAGTGGTGATACATGAGTCCAAATACAGAGATGATGTAAGCATGATGTTGTGTATCTGGAGTAATCTTCACCACCTTATGGGAAATGAAATAGGCCTTTCTACTTCTGTTTTGAAAATGAATGGAACATTAGTAGTTGGCATTCTAGTTTCTGCCTAAGAGTAATTGAGATGATATGTGCCAAATTTTACTGTATCTTTACTCTGAAATAATTGGATCTTGACTTCTTGACATTTAATACAAAGCAGTAATAGTGACAGTGAATTTTCTGCTTACCCCAGAACTGTACTCAGACTGTGCAAATACCGTGTATTAATTGCACTTCATTTTTGTTTCAAAAGAGAAGTACGGAATGTTTTATGAATGGTGCTATTTCAAAGGATGACTACTCTGCATTTCCATGATTAAATTACCTTCAGCTCTAATTCTTAGTAAGAGCATTTAATTAGGAGGGGTTGATCATTTTAAACCGGTCAGGTGCTGTGCTCTGTGATGCTTTTCTTGTACTACTGTAGCAAGCAGCTTTTATCCCTTTGCATAACTGCTGCTGAAACTCAGGAGCCCGATGGGTCTGGCAGTATGAGCAGACGCCACTATAGCAGCCTGCTGGCCAGTCAGGATTGCTCACAGCGCCTCTTTTGCGAGGGCCTTATGTTCAACTTTATTGGAGGCCTCAGCTTTTTAAAAAATATATCTATCAGCATATATAGATAAGGATGGTCAGCAAGTCATTTAAGTAGTTTCTGTTTAAGTTACTCAAGCATTCTAATTTTAAAATTTATAATTTGCATCATTCAATCATAGCTGTTTATCTTGATACCATTTTCTGGGTCAGTGATGGTGATGAGCAAACTCTTCCTTTCTGCTGGATATTATTCATTGATTTTCTGTTTGAAACAGGAATTTTGTACTATGTAAATCTATGTTTTCATTTGCACTTTAGTTAGTTGTATTCTTTGAATCAATACTTTCATTAGAGGGTCATTTATAGTACAGGATCCCCTCCTACCCTCCTGTTTTGGTCAGTCCAAGCTCTAAGAGGTCTTACTAGTAACTTTTGAGCTGTCCCACTAGAAATGGCTTTTTGTACACAGGGGAGGCCAGAGCCTTATTCACTTGGAAATCTCTGGAGATATTTTTTACTAGTCCATCAGTTAGCTGGGTTGCTTCTTTTCCTATCCACTTTCTTTGTTCTTTTTTGTTCCGGGGAATTGTAAATAAAGCCTTGCCTAAAACGAATGTGCTGTCAGGATGCAAAATGTAAAAATAGAAGCTGCTCTTCCTTAATCCACACTAGATTCATCCTTCCTGGCTCCAGAGAGAGGTCTCCTGGAATATTTGAAGCAACTGGGTTAGCTGAGTCATCGAGCTTTGTCTCAGTAAAGCACACATCTTTGGTCCTTGTTAATCTTAAAGCATTGAAGATTTTAGCCAGGAATTGTTCTTAAAGCAACATTAGCCAGACCTCGGGGTCACTAGTTTACTTTGTTCTAGGAACCCTAAGAGACAAGAGCAGTAGAATAATAACTTCTCATTTGCTTGGAGCTCTGTTGTTTGCAAAGTTCAGACCTAACAGTAGCCTATGAATAGAGCTAGGCTCTTATAGCACTTTGGCCTCTGACCGTTAGCTCACTCAGCATTCATTGCTGATTGTCCCTTCTTTCTTATTAGGAAGGCGTCACCTTTTCCCTGCTGTGGTGCTGTTAGCCAATTTTCTCAACCAGGAGGCAGTGGTTTATTATTTTGCCTCTTAACTATATTTTCGTGTGTCTCTTTTTATCAGAGTGCCCTGAATTGTTCTTTCCTTCACTCTTTTAGCATTAAGAATCCATCCAACTAAGTCCTCTGCTTTATTTTAATCTGAAACTTTGAAGGAGACATGAATGTTAAACATGAAACCTGTAATGAACATATGGCCAAAGAGGGTTGATGCGCTCGGGGAAGTTTGATTTCATTTCCTGAACAAGTTGTAGAAACGTTTAACCTGATAGCACTTTGGAGATTCTCATCTAAGATCATTGGCATTTTTTCTGTAGGGTTGTACTTAAAAGTGAGATTTTTTTTTATCCATTATTAAGAATTGAAGACAAATCAAATTTGGAGATTAATTTATCTAGAGACAGAACTTTTTTGACCTCTTACAATAAAATGTACTTTCTCAAAAGATTTTAACTAAAGCAGCTCTTAAAAAGCACCAGAGTTCTTTGTGTGGTATTGGTAGCAACCCTCAGGTAACCATACTCCGCTGTTTTACCATTTTTATATATAGTCAGAATTGTTTATTGCAGATCATCCAGTTTTTAACATGGTATTTGTGCGGTCAGTACCCATATTGAAAGGAGTTTCTCCATCAAGTTCTATTCTAGGGAGGGTATATATCCTTACTTATCAAAGTAACATTGTGAACAAATAAAACAAAAGGCAGACATTAAAAACTTTTTAATCAGTGAAATACAGTCACATGTAAAACATTTATCTCAATTTCTGTTAGTCATGTCAAATCTTAGGTCTTAACCTGCTAAACTGATAGAAATTTGGCCTCGCTTGAAGTAATAATAAGGTCAAAGATGTTCGGATTAAGACTGAGTAGGAGAACATGTGGTTCTGAAATGTGCAGCAGCTCCTTGTGCTGGAACTAAAGTAGCATCGTCTCTTCCTCTGCTTAGCCCCGCCGTTCAGTGCCAGCAACACATCAGAAGGGGCCACTTTCTGGCCATGACGCCATCTTAGCTCCCTTGTAGCATATCGCTAGGACACTGAGTTGAATGAGTGTCCATGGAGATGGGTGTGTATGTGTAATGCTGTAACTGTGTTTCAGATGGTAAAGGATGACTATGAGGATGATGCCCACGTATTTCGGAAAGCAGCCAATGACATCACATCCCAGCTGGAGATTAATTTTGGTAACCTCCCTCGTCCTGGGCGTGGAGCCAGAGGTGGCACACGGGGAGGCCGGGGAAGGATCAGAAGGACAGAGAACTATGGACCGAGAGCAGAAGTGGTGGTAAGTGTTTGGATTTTAAATCTTGGTTTTCTGAAGGATACGACAAGATGAGGATGCCCTAGGTCTACAGTCTAATTTTGGAGGGTCATCAGGTTCTGTCATGGGTTCCTCCACTATCTAGTGTTGGTCTGATGTTGGGGTGTTTGGAATGGTGACGTCAGCATCATGGACATTAGTTGGAAACAGACTATTCTGTAGCCCTGACCTCCAGGATCTCCAGGGAGGTCCACTATCTGGCCTGAAGGTTTACTCAGAACTGGAGAAAAACTCACTCATCTGGATCAGACAAGATCCCCAGGCTTAACATCAAATCAGATCACCTGAAGTTGCTTACACACAATGGTCTGATTATATGCCCTGTGTACTTGTCACTTTCAGGACAGACAGAATTCTTTATGGATCACCTTTTCACCTCAGACCATTATTCCTGGCTCCTCAGCCAGCTCTGCCCTACCTCTGTAGACATACTGCTTCTTACCCCAGGGGCCCTTGCCTGCCCACCTAGAACAACATCTCTAATCTGGGACTCCTCAGAGAAGGGTTCTTTGATCACATTTCCTTCCAGACCAGGTCAGAGTCCTTGAGCAAGGAATTTCATTTCTTCTCTTTGAAGCTTTATCGCCATTTGTAATTGTGTTCTCATTAGTGTGATTATTAATTGAGCTGCTATGTCTGCAATAGCAGCCACATCTGCTTTTGCTTATTGTTGGTTTTCCCAGGGCCTAGTACAGTGTGTGTAATAGGTGCTTCATAAATGTTTTATGAACAAATATATGAATACCTATTTAGTGGGAGTTGGGCACAAGGCCCTGTGGCCAGTATGGGCCACCACAGAGTCCTTGTGATGATGGAGCAGGAGCAGTCCCTTCTCTATGGCTGGTCTTAGAAATGTCCTTTTTGCTGCCTAATTCTCTTGCTCCCAGGAACAGCCCCTGGGAGGAGTGCCTACGGTTGGTTTGTCGTACTAATTAAGGAACGAAAGCTCACCTGTGCTCTTCCAGCTCAGAACTGCCCTCAGGCCCCACCCTCCATCCCTAAACTCCCCTTCTCTGTCAGGTTGCAATTTCAGAATCCATGTTCTCTTTGCTCATTCTCTGATGCTTACTTCTGGGAAAAACTTCCCTGATCACGATGTGTACTTTGCCACCAAATTGCTTTGGACGGGTGGGCCCCATTCCCAGAGCATCTGTTACTGAAGTTACTGCACTGTAACTTTCTCAGTATTTCTCCCCCTCACCCTCTGAGCTCCTCAAGGGTGAGAACTATAATCATCCTTATATCTTCATATAGTAAACATTCTGCCATGTACATTGAGTGAAGGAAGTGCCAGATACAAAAAGGGTCACTCAGTAAGGATTTGTGGGAAGAAAAGGGGGAGGCGGGTGCTGCCAGCCATTTTGCAGAGGATACAGGAGTGAGTCTGAGAGAGAACAGGCACCCTTCCGCATTGCAACTCAGAGGCAGCACCTCACCTCTGTGACCCTGCAGCTCTCTTCCACTGGGAACTTATCTCTCCCTCAGTGTTTGGGTTACCCCTCCCCTAGGTGAGAGTGGGCACACAATGCTCTGCTCAAGTAGGAATGAGTGAATGACAGCTGGTTTCAAAACTTTTCTTTTTTAGACACAAGATGTTGCTCCAAACCCGGATGACCCTGAAGACTTTCCTGCTTTGGCTTGAGAGAGCCCTGTTTCCCTGGCAACTTAGAACAGCATTGGCATACCTATGAAGAGACTTTTCTTGCTATGGGGAAGAGAGTCAGACTCTAAGAACAATAGATGTTGCTTTTCCCCTGTGTAGTGTGAATTCATTGTACTTTTTTGACCTGGGGAGAGGGAGGCTTGGGGAGGTGCGATAGCGATTTCTCCAGTCTAGAGCTACAGTTCCAGCCAGGGGTTAGTCTGGCACTTTCCCAATAAGGTGGAGAATGGGGATTATTTTTTTATTTAAGAATTTCCAAATGAAGTCCAGAAATAGTTTAAAATGTGTACATAGAGATTATAAAATAGAATCTATTGAGTCTACTTAGTAAGTTGTAAAGATATTGGAAGTCCATATCCTTTACTATTAAAGGAGATACATATATCTTGGACCATTAATTTAAAGCAGTCACAGCCTAGTTTTCAGAGACCAAGATATTAAAATACAATTGTATTTACTGTTTACTTGTAAATGTTATACTCTCCTGGGACTTTTTGAGTTTTGTTTTTCATTTAACTGATAATTTTAAATAGCTATTGTATGGCCATTGATTAACACTCTGTGACAGAATTAGGGAAAGTTTTGTTTTTTTTTAATAGTGATTTAAACTACCTCGTGGTTTCTGTGTGTATGTACACACATGCTTAGTATAAAGGTGATATTTAGTCTTCGGGTGGTTTTTAGGATGAGTATTAAATCTATGATTTTTATAATCATGTTATTTAACCCACCAATCTAATGAAAAGGTCCAGGCGCCGGAGTGTTGCAACGTAACACCATATCCTTTTCTCCCTCGAAACTAAGTGTCAGAATTCAGCACCCATGTACAAAAACCCTCTCTTTTTGTCCTGGGCAAGACTTGTAAATAGCTAATATGTATTGAACACTCACATGCAGTTTTCCTCACTCAGTCCTTGCACCAGTTCGAGTTCCTATTTCTTGCCTTTGGTGAATGTTCGGGGTTTGGGGCTACAGCAGAGGTTCAGTAAATTCCCCAGTCCCACCCTAACCAACAAGCTGAGACCTGTAGAGCCCACACTCTCAGCCGGGCTGGGGCAGAGGTAGCTATAACAGCTGCTGAAAGCTGGGGTGATGTTCTCCCAACTTGAAGAAACTGTGGGTAACATTTGCCTGTTGTGACACAGTTAACATGCTTGTGTTCGAATTTGAACCTTGGCCCCAGGATCTGTGCTTTTTCCCGCTTCGCTACACTAAGATGGCTCTGAATTTGAACCCGAGTATAAATAAAGGTTGGTATTCCCTCCTAACTTTGTGTATAGAAAGCTGAATCGTTTTGATCACACCCAGGTCAAGACAGAATGTGGGAAAGGGCCCCAGTGAAAGTCACATATTTTGAAAACTCAGAGCTGAACCCCTAGTCATGTGACAGCCAGTTAAGGACTTTTCCTGTGGATGACAGCCTACTTTTGGTCTTGTTATTAATTTTGAAGTATTAAGGTATATTAATTGATTGTTTTATTCCCTCTCCCTGGAAAAGACATAGTGAATGGAGTTCCCTGATCTAAGTTAAGAAGTCTTGTGAGGGTGAATGTCAGATTCAGCCATAATAAGCTGCTGGTGCAACATGAAGCTGTCATGTTAAGTCATTTTGCCTTGCCTTGGCTTTGAGGATTGGCAAAACTGATCCCTTTCGAGAATTAACACTTGAAAAGCCCATAGTGCTAGGTTTAATGTTGTTTGCAAACACTTTAGCCTTCCCAAACACACTGAAGATTTTTGTACCCTGGAGCAGTCTCGAGTCTTGGGATTGAAAATGGCTTTGTGGTAGTTTCTGAGCCTGTAGAGGGCTTCCTTTGTTTACCGGGGCTACCTCTCCCCTGTGTGGCGAGGCAGTGGATGTCAGGTTGTTATCACATGGTCGTTGCAGTCCAGTGCCCCAGGAAGACAAAGCAGAAGCAAAAGGCAGGGGAAATCCCTAATGTGCTATAGGGAAAATCAGAAGAGGAGGCAGGAGGATTATGTCTATGAACCTATACACAAGGCAAAGCCTTCCAGATCAAAGTTCCCTTGCCAGACTCCTTTGAGTGGCTTGTGTGTAGATGTGCTGTCATAAGGCAGGGCACGTTTCTGACTGGTAACTTAATACTAAGCAAATTAACCCCACAAAATTTGGGGGCTTCAAAGACTATCTTGAAAAGTGGAGGTCAAGTATGTTTGAATTCCAAGGGCAAGTGTGTCAGCCCCAAACCTGACTTGGATCCCTTCTCAACCAAGGAGCTCACTGCTTGATCATAGGCCACCAGGGCAGCAACTGAAGACAGATTGGGCTTGGGATGTCCCAAAGTCTGCAGTTGGGAGAGCCCCATGAATGGGGAGGTGTGACCCCTGACAGCTGTTACCCCTGCACATCTGACAAGGTCTGGGAAGAGGCAGGCTCGCTCCAGAAGCTGCTGTTGGCTGGGACAGACTTGAGAAAGCTAAAACCATGCACTGGTTGGTTTTAACATCTGGCCAGGACATCTTTAGCCTAATAAGCATTTAACACTTTCATCGCAAGGCAGACTCCTCAGAACCAGAGAAGCCATAATAGGCACCCCCTTTTCTAGTGTTGGTCACTGATTCAGGTCCTTTTTCTTTGTTCACTATCCTAGTGCATAGGTATTTCAGAGGTGGAGGCATTGTTTTTCCTTTGAAACCACACCATGCGGTATTGGCAAGTCCTATGGAGCAGCTGGACCGGGTTCTGAGTCTCAGAGCTAGGAAAGGTCAGCCCTCGCACTAAAAACAGGAACTGCTCCCTTCTAAGCTATCCCGGCAAGAGCTACGCTGCCAGCAGTGAGCTGGTCTGCCCTCCCTCTCAACATAGCATCATCCGGCTGGATAAGTAGAGTTTCACTTTGAGAAAAGATCCCATTTTCCTTTTGCTCCTGTTTTTCCTCAGCTTCGGGAGTATCACGCTGTGTTGGGACAGCCCCCAGGGGCTGGCCCTTTCTCTAGATTTTCTCCATCGTTGGCCAGAAGGCGGGCCCTTGGGCAGCCAGCACTACTGCCCAGATGTGCCAAGTGTGTGAGCCTTTCCCTGGATCTCTGTCCCAGAGGGGCCTGTATTTATGTGGTAAAGAGAATGAGGAAGGGAAAAAGCGAGTACTTAACTCTATTGTAAAATACAACATGGAGAAAAGTGCAGAACTTCCTTGTAGCCATCACTTAAGTCAAGAAACTGATTTCCCCAGAAGCCTGTCCACTGTGACTGTGCCCACCACAGCCTCCCCTCCCTCTGAAAGGAGCCACTGTCCCATCTGATAGGAAGCACTGCCCCAGGGTTCATCTGTAACATCACAGCTTTGCCCTTTATCTGGATGTCTTTTAAGTCTGAGTTCCTTCTCTGCTGAGTTCCTTCTCTGCCCTTATTGCAGAACCTGGGTAACCTAAGGAAACAAGCATTCCTTGAGGGGCTGCCTTGTGCTGTTTTGCCTCACCACTTTACAGTCAGGGAACAGGGAAAGACATCCATCCTTCTTGCTTCCTAGTTGGGATTTGGGCAGGGAGGGGATGAGATGAGGCAGAAAGAAGATTCATTCCCCAGGCCAGTATTCTTTCTACACATTCCCAAGACTTCTAGATAAATGACCAGTTCCTTGGGCAAAGCCGCTAGGAGAGGGACAGGGCAAGGGCAAACGACAAGTACCACAACAACCAAAGGAGTCACGCTGAGTGTGTTCTGTGTGCTACTGCGCTCAGCCACTCCCTAGGGTAAGGTAGCAAGCCACAGCAACCCTGCAACCCCGTGACTGCTTGCAGTGGTAGCTTGAGTGAGTCTACCCCAAAGCATGACGGGATTAGCAGTTTTCTTAGCTTTATTAGAGCTCCTGCACAGGTGGAGATGGCAAGTTTTGAGCGGCCACAGACATTACGTTCAAGGTTGCCAGCAAGGTACTGTGGAGACAGGAATAGAAGCTTGGATCTCCTGGGGCCTCATGGAGCCTAAGGCCTAACAGTTCCTGTCACCTCCCCTAGGCCCTTTTCCTTGGCCACAAGCTTACCCATGACTCAGTAGGACTTGCCCTGATCAAACCATAGTGGCTCTTGAACCCAACCACAGCTCTGCTATGAGCAAAAGCAGGCTCCATGTGTGGGGAGAGCAGATCGAGCCAGTGGAGCAGAGAACCAGCTGCCTTCTAAGCATTGTTTCTTTGCAAAATTGTGGCGCAGTTTCTGAGAGCTGACTTAGGAGCACAAAATCATGTATAAGTTGGAAAGTACCTGTCATGTGAAAATGGAGTGGCATCGACTTGCACGTAAGTCCCTCAGGAGGCTCAGAATTCTCAAAAGTTCTCAAGCCAGTGAGGTAGGGAAAATTATTTCCTGGCAGACAGCCACCCTGCCAGAGGCACTGAGGGCATCTCCACCAGAGATATGCACTATCCAGCCCCAGGGAAGCTCACACACATCAATGTACCTGCGCAACTGTGCTGGTGGCCCTGGTGTATACCCCC